AAAGCAAGAAAGATTATTCACCCGTCATTCACCGTATAACATCCGGCGCATTGCTATGATCCAAAAGGCTGTCATGTATGCAAAATAACCCCCCAAGAGCTCCTCAATAAACTTACCGAAGTGCTACTATGTCAGATTGTGAATGCTCAGGACCTCATTTCCATTACTAAAATCTGGTAGTGCCACGAAGTTTCAGATGCTGAAGTTGACACTATGAATGGCACTCATCCGAAACGACTGTCCCCAATTGGGAGGTAAGATTATTATGTACTACCGCAGTGACCAGCAATATGCGATAGTTTATGATCCGGAACCTCCTGTTGCGAACTGTTGCCGTCTCCGATTAAGATAGGCAATGCATCTCACCCAGCTGTCGTTTATCGTCCATCAGCATTCAATCCGGAAATGGATTCCATTCTGAGGCTCGTCTTGAGCAGGGTAACACGCCCTAGATACTGTTATATCCTCATCTCATGGGTTTTCAATGAACATGAGATGAAAGTATCGGCATCCCTAACAGAACAGTTCCAGCCGACTTCCACTTATTTATTGCTTCCATTCCCTTAGTAAACCATGTCTTCTCTTCCAAAAGTTTACGGGTAGGAAACAAACCGTCTATGCTGGACCTTGTGCTCACAGATGGAGAGTTTACCGTCAACCATATCATGATGAACAGCCCATTAGATCTCAATAACCATGTTTGTCATGCAGCTTGTCCATATAAACATAGGGAATATACTCATAAATTTCCGCGCTGCCGATTCCTAAAAGAACTCGTCGTGGCATCTACTTAGAAGTTCTCGAACAACTGTCGTTTTAGCTTTTGGATAAACTTGGTTGAATGAACCGACGACGTAGTTAACAGCGGATTAGAAACAATGTCAATTCGTTCCGAACTAGTACCGTCAATTTTCAGTAGCATGACTCGAAAATGCGTGGCAATAGGGTCTGCAGCATGACATGGCTACAAGGCTAACCCCAACCCAGAGACTTAGGGTAAATTGCTTAACCACCGCAACAAATGTATTACACTTGTCCATGATGAGCAAATCACCTATAAACACTGCTTAGCCAAAAGTTTCCTGGCGAGCAATATGCTCCTGTAAAAGCCCGTCAGCAGCCTTCGCTAAGTTTAACATAGCATCCGCCTACCTTTCACAACAGACAGTTGAGCCAATAGCGCCGACGAAGCAGCTAACGCGCTACAGCTAGAACACGCTTGGATTTTTGAACTCGCAGTTTGTCCCTGTTAAATGCCCTCATCCACTTTATTGAACCCAGGTTTATACTTGTACTCATTAACCCAGCAACCGTGCTAAGGAAACTGCTCTCGTTGGGCAGTCTAAGATTTCCGAATGCTGAGAACATGCACCCGAAAGCACTGAAGGCTGCTGTCACTGTGCTAGCTAAGCCCTCCCCACAGTTCTTTCAGACGCCTCAATGAACAACACATCCCCACTATCTGGAAGCATACCATTATTACCCTAATTTTTAAGCGTGAGAGCCTTTCAATTCCTCTAAACCAACACCCATTGACTCTCCTCCCTGTGATCTTGATGATGGAAGCGACTTTCTCAGAGACATTATGGGACCACCTGGAATAATCCAACGTTTTGGCACCGGAGCAGCATGACCTCCAGCAACACCGGTCATGCACCAACAACCTGCTCATGGCACAATGTAATTGAACAGAAGTTGCTGATAGTGGGGCCGGAAGCGACCTCGGCTACCTGGAATTTTCCAAAGTTCTCGACAGCCTGGGTCACCACATCCTACTTCAAAGGCTACGTAGCTATGATCATGAGGATCCCGTCCTCGAGTGTGTTGCCAGCTTTCTTCAATAACAGATGATTCAGAGGCTTGTTGGCGGACCACCCTCTAATTCGACTGTGGTAGTATGCGGTGTTCCACAGGGCGGAGTGGGGGGATCGCGCTTATTCCTGGTGTGTAACAAAGACTTGACAAGCGTTATCTCCTCTAATTTCCTAAGTTTCGCCGTTGATGTCACAATGCAACTAGTGAGGAATAGCCATGCAGATCAGGATTTCTTGGAACGTAGCATGGATTACATTCATCGGTGACCAACGAGGAACCTGATCTAGTTTAATATACCTAACTGCATGATGATTCACCTGCGTCAGCTCTCGGTGAGTACTTACAAGTTTGGAGAACAGACTCTACGGAAGGCTTCTTGTGACATTTGGATACTGGTTCAGGACTATCTCAGATGGTGTTGAGAACCTATAATCAACACTTTGGCTTTCTGCGCAGAGCGTTCGGTCGGCTTGACCCCTTACTCTTCCAAAAAAGGCTTATCGCTTATGTGTGAATGCAAGTGAAAAACACTACCTAGGCTTTGCAGACCTGGCAGACGTGACAGCTTAACGCTTTCGACACTCTTCAGTGATGGGCACCAAAGGTCCGGGACTCCTCCTTCCGCTTAGCTTAGCTTAGATAGAAGTCCCTATTTATGTACAGTAGTCGATATCGACACTTGCGGGGGGACTTCATAAAGAGTTACCAGATCCCGAGGGACCCAAATCACATTTGCCTTCAGCTACTGGAACTGAGCTACACCACCGAAATAGGAGGTCATTGCTTAAAGCTGACAGTACGATATGGCTGGTTGGAATGTGATCAAAATATCTTCTTGCTTCCAGTGTGTCAGACGTGAAACGCTCTCTCAACTTATGCGATCTCTGCCCCAATCTAAGGACGTTTCAATACGACTTGACGAAGCATCGTCATAATCGCATTTCGTTTTATGGTTTGTGTTAGCCAGAGGCTAAATAACGCAACCAAACGTTGTAATTCCGAAATTCTAACTTTGATCATGCAAAAAATCTTGGTTCTTCTACGCATGTCTGAGTACATCCACTAAGGTGAATTCACCAAAATGCGCTTCATCTTATCAACATTTTGTCTAAATTCTTTCCATCCCACGAGAGTGCTTAAGCACTGCTTTTTCCCCTTAATACATTGTTGCTTGTTTGTTGCATTGATGGTATTTCATACAGCGGCATTTGTTGAGACACAGCTGAAGCCACTCTACTTCACCGGGCGATCTTCTGCATATTGTCCACGAAATATGTGCTGGTAACTCAACTATCTTACATATCTGGCTACTTTATTAGGTGGGTAAAAGTATCTCTGTAGGTAAATATATCCGCATCTATTTTTCTCAGAGATGAAATAGACTACAGGAATACAAACCGGGAAGCTTTATGGTATGAACGTTTTAGTTCACTTAAGAAAATCATATGGCACACACGTTTAGGTGATACTCACGCAGTAACTTCATACGATGCATTGTTCGCTTCGTGCTATCTCTCAATCTGCATCCAACTTTCCAGCCAACTATTAGGCTAGCACATATCACACGCTCAGCCGTTCTCAGTGGATCTTTTGTGCGATTGGCCCTTATTGGTCAGATGCATTGCTTTCACCAGATTTTTAACCGTTCTCTTGTCTGGTATCATAGCTGGTGCACACTTGCAAACCTTACGTGCGCTCAAACATATTGTTTGGGATATCCATTGAAGGAAAAACTTCTAGACGCTGACTAGTAGCTAGTTTTCCCTGATGCGGGCCCGAAAATAAAGCCTGAAGCACAAGTAGAATATGGAGAACAACTGGTGGTCAATCAGCAACATTATACACTCGACAGCATAGATGTCAGATTACCTAATACATACACTAGACAGTAAGGCAAACGGACAGATGGTTTCAGTCTTTACGGAATTGAGATTTAGACGGAAAATGTCCGGAATGCTATTGTACCTGCCATGAACTACATGGAAAAAATGTGGCCGGATTTGTAGGCCTCATGAAAATATCCACCTAGGGAATAGCTCCTTACTTGGTGATACACCAGTAAAATCTCATGAAAATTTCATACAACTCTATGTGGTCTTACCGTCTAAATGAAGAAAACGTGTGATGATTTGGGGTGGGAGCTACATAGATGTCTGAGCACCTCGTTCTGTGTTTATCTAATCCAGGTACATATGAGTCCTACGTTAGTAGATGTAGGAAATGCTGACTCTTCTCAACGTGCTACCTACAGGAAGACCACGTTTACTGTGATAATTAAGTCCCTGAAATATTACTTCGAGTGATGCGTTGTTGACCACAACGGGTCTAAGGTAAGGTGGTCGGTCGTAGTTCTGGAGTTATCGCTACTAAGTCAAAAGTAAAGAGATCTAACTTTGCTCGGCCATACGCAACATCACGTCGATGGCCTAAGTGTGCAAGTAAAGTACCGTATCGTAAACTTGAAAAGATGCGTGCCTAAATCTTTTCTAACAGTTATCGGGATAAGAATCCATGTTACGCAGCGACCGTTCCTGCTGTGACGGTCAACTTGGTGGACCTCTGGCTAGTTTGAAATTTCAGCTGCAAATAGTTCCCTTTGCTTTCCAAACAAATCCAGACCCAAAGAGTAGACTTTATCTCCGCCATGATTAGTCCTGAACGTCAGATTGCTAATGTCCAGGTACTTGCGTAGAATGATAATTTGAGATCCAGGATGTTGCGTGGACTCACATGAAACACACCACGGTAAAGTGTTCGTTTGCGTCAATGCTCACATTTCTCTATCCTTGTCAGGTCCCTTAATTCTTGCGTTTGTATCCACTTTCACAGCATGGAAAAGTTAAAACTTGCCACCCGTTGAAAGAATAACTACATCTCCCCCGAAGCATCTAATCAGTAGTTTCTTACGACTGCCTATATCTTGGCTTCCCTGTTCGTGGTGCAACTAAATTCAGCTAAATCGATGTCCAGATGCCTATTAAGCTCACAACCAAATATCTTCATTCTAGAGACCCCGCAACCGGCATCTCAGCAAAAAGATGCCGTAAGCAATGACATGCACAGTCGTTTAAAAAGAAGTGAAATTTGTTCACTACATCAGCTATCTATGTAGTACGGTAGTGCAAAGTCACTACTCTTCAGCTTTACTGGCTTAGACCTATGCTAAACCATTCGACAAAGTTAAGCAAAGTTATGCAGAGTAATGGTCAAACCGCTGAAGCCGTTACGCTGTAACAGTCCCTAAACAAGAAATGGTATACAAACCTACTTTACAACATTAGTCTATCCTATTATAGCTAATAAGGAAATAAAGCTTTTATTGCTGGACAGTGCGAGGCACAATCCAATTGAGTGGACTGATCCATTTGTACATCGAGATCGCAGAAAATAGTTGAATGTTCATGTTCAACGAGTACCAAATGGGTTTCTGAAGTGAATGACGGTTTGATATTAGTAGAGAGAGTAATAAAATGGGAACAATAACAAATGCAGTTTTATCCAAAAGTGCAACCAAATTAATATAGCCATCCATGGAGCTGTCCTGGATTCATGCAATATGATGTTTTCAAAAAAAATTCCTGCCGTTAAATCCTATATTTTTTGATGAAGGAAACGGTAGTCGTTGTTAATCAAATGATGGACAGACCACTAGAATATGTTCCGTCAACTGAGTAGTGGTTAAGTGAGTTGCATTTTTCTATTCAACTAATAGATCAACTGCTCTCCTTGTCATCACTTTTTTACATTCTTAGCGCCTTGTACCAAAGAAGAACCTGATGTGCCATTGGAGGGACCCGTTGAAGAGCATTCTGTCACCTCAGGTAGTCAGGTGAGCGTTAGTGTGTCACGCTCTCTCGATACTATTCCTGGCAAATAGCTAGCGATTCAGCACGGTTAATGTTCTGTCGCTCTCCGGTTTTTCACAGCGTAGTGACTTCTTTATACATCGCGTTGTTCCGCTGCCACTGTTTTGTCAAATCGGAGTGGCATTGCAGTGCAGTAACAACACGACGAAACGGATGCTCTTAGTAGAGCCGATTTAAAAATGTGTCATGGCCATTTCAGTCACTCCACACGTATTCTTACGTTCACACATGTGTTTTTCACTTTTGTGTAATTTTCTGTACTAACCTTATTTCCACAAACCATACCACGGGATTTATCAAACCCTGACTATTTTTATTTGTATTATATCATTGTTCCATTGTACTCCACCTCCTTGGATGTAAGTGGGCTCACGCCCTCGCGAGACAGCGGTTGATCCGACCAGAGAATGATAGCCACTATGAGCAGCAGTTTGGCCCATCTTCTACTGCCACACACTTTTCAAGCGTGCAGGGTGCGAAGTTTCATTTCCCTACTTGATAGTGCATACAAATGGCCGGTTTTGAAGGACAAGAGTCGCAGTCCGTGGTTATTCAGGGTCCCTGGTAACCGTTGAAATGTAGCAAGCTCTGTTAACTTCTACATAATGAATCTGATATCTCCCAAACATTATTCTACCTGGTAGTTATTCCCATCTCTAGGAATACATTTAGTCATATTCACTTCTAACGCTGCATCCTACCACGGATTTCGTCATCTTTAAACTATTCGGGCAGTGACAATAATAGTTAGATTTTCGAACCTTCACTTCAGTGCTTGACGGTATACACCCTTACTGCCAAGACATCTAGTGACACTACAAGCGATGCTTGTAATTACGATTGGGAACCTGTAGTTGGACTACTGGAGTACTCGCTGTGTATACTACTTGTGACACACGATGTCCGTTCGGATGGTGATTCACTGGACGTTTGCGTCGAGCAGTCTGCGCCCTGAGATCGTATCGGAGATGGCACAAATTTAGATGTTACTTTCTAACGCTGACTCCCATTAGTGCTAATCGGAGTTCGACACCGATCCGAAGATGGAATCGGTTGGTTCTAGGAGGCAGTGCTGTCACTGCGCACCTATGAAAATATATGGACTTCATCTGCAGTCTGCGTGATCTGATATACAGAGATTGGTTTCTCTGTGTGTCATATTCTACTTGGGTGTTGAGTGCCTCAAACTAAACGCACAGTTGCCGTCTTAGAGTCAATGAAAAGATGGCATCCGTTTGTACGTCGCTAGTAGTTACGCACTTGCGTGAGTATACAAAAGAAACAACGCTTCAAAGGATGGCCTACTTTTAAAAGCACGGAAGGCATTCACACCAACGATAGGCAGAACATAGTTGAGGCTGAGCACCTTTTAAGGTAGGTAGAAACCGACGGTATGGTAACCTTCTCGGGAATATTGGAAAAACCGTTTCATTTGTTCAAAAATCCTCTACAATTATGTTCCATTGATCATGTTAACTAGACGGTACCCATGGATCGATGTGAGGTTACTTTACAAATGCAAAATATTAAAGATAAACCCAGCGTTCCGTTAATCTAAAAAGGATGGTTATCTGCCAGCTGGTGTAGTTCAATGCAACAACAGGCATCTTCATTTTATGTAAGGATGTGTAACATCTTGATGTGAGACCCAAATTCCAGCAGGTATTTCCCTCACATACTGCTTATCTGAGCGTTGACCATCAAAGTCAGGATGAAAATTCAGATTCGGAACCACGAGCAAGAGTATGTTGCTAGGTGCGTCTGACAGAATCCAATACCTTTACTATTTTGTGGTGAAAGCTTCTAACTGACAATGCGCTGAATACCTCTCTGCAAGTTTTTCGGTGTCATATAAATTCAGTGGCCAGTATTTTGGATGAAATATCCAGTCGCTTGCGGCTTAAGACATCTACTCTACAAGCTTATCTCCTCAACTTGTATCTCCAAATTACACAGTTTCCTTGTTCGCATTTTCATGGTCAGAATTTCATTCCACGCGCCTTCTAGTTTCCGTACACCCTAGCGGTGGAAAATGAAGTCACGATTCAGATACTAAAACGGGATGTTTGTTTTTAAAATGATTTGGTGTACCTATTATAAATTAATGTTAATTGGAGCAACAGTGATCGGAGACTAAACGGCAAGCTTGATGATACCGTAATTCTGTCGCCACCAATATTTCGTTGCTGCTTGCTCTTGTCAACGCTTTCTTTGTTGCCCATTCGAATGATCGTTGTATCGGTCAGTAGCATCCACTTTTGGAGCAGATAAACAAATTGAATGCAGACACCCTGATGGTGTGTGTGCCTACACAAGGACCATGCGTAACTTGCGATTTACCAGCCACATCTCCACTCACACAATTTATGCCCCATGTGCACCTGAAGGAATAAGGCAGGAAGGCAAGTGATCGGGAGTCATGAATCAGTCTGAGCTGACCAACGATGCCTTAGCATACACACCATCCATGAATGGAGGAATTCTACCGAATGGGTCATGGCCGGACACAGTGAATGCAACCGAAAAACTGCAGTAAATATAGCTATTCGGTTAGTACTACAAATAGAACCCACTCTTAGAATGAGAACTGAAGAGACAAAAGCGTCAGTGGTACACAAGACAGCGAGTAACTAGCAAGCCACTGCGCGGGGGGATACCGCTTACTTCTTAATGTGGTAGCTAAGCGTTCGCCTTTAAAATTCCTCCGCAATAAGGAGCAGTCTTCTTGATCGAACGCTCGAGATGACGGCATTGGGCAAACTAACACACTAATGAGAATTTATTGCTTTAGCTGCTTACATGCCACCTCGATATGTGGTGGCTTGCATAGGGAGTTGTAGCTCTGGGAGCCCGTCCAATCCTCTGCACGTTCACAACATGCACGACGATGGGGCATTAGCCGCTCTACATAACAATTAGATATCAGTTGTGGTGGTCCACCGCCATCACTTGTGGCTTAGTGGTATATGTCGCTGACTGGTGTGAGTAAGGTCACGGGTTCGAATCCGACAGGAACCGGCGGATGCGCGCTACTGAGGAGTCCCAATGGGAAGAAACAGCCGTCTAACGCTTCCCTGACTAAGTGGTGGCCAACTGCCTGAGTCCGGCTGCGAGGAACCTTCTTCAAAGCGCAACAAATATCCCTACTACTCACCAAAAACACTGATTACCCATTCTAAGCTGACTCACTATTCAAGGACAGGTGTTAAGTTAAGATACCTACATCGGCATAAATGCTGCATCAATGCATTTGCACCAAATCCCATTCACTAACGTGGGTGCTTCATAGAGATTTCTTTAACCAAACTGCGCTGTCTGCGTAATTATATTACAACGGTCTTTAGCGGAAGCAGGCTCGGAGCATAGGGAGCGCAACCGAGTGTTAAGTGGAAATTCGCGTTAGATTATTTAAGGTGCATTAGACAAATGTTATGAAAACCTCCAGTTGGAGGCAAAATTTACAAACACCAGGTGTACATTGGAACTATACCACATGAATACATTGCTTACAATAGATAATGCCGAAAAGGTTTCGGCTAGTTGTTCTGTGTGAACAAATTTCCGTGTGCATACATATTAAGTGTTACCTGCTGGAAACATTGCACTGCACTGATGGTCTCGTATCCTTCTGCGCGCATCAGGCGGGGATAGCAGATTGACTGCGACTCGAACCCGGAAACTTAGGGATGTCATCCTAAGCTTCGATCACTGTATCACCGAGCGGTGGGCAAATCCCATTATTTATCGACTTCGGATGTCATCCCGGCAAACAAAATTCAACCAAGTGCACTTGAAAGTGAATTACAGTCCAGCGTAAGATTAGGACTCGAAATCCATCCGCCCGACATCTGCTTTAAAATATTAGACAAATGAAATTTCGGAGTATTTTGTTCCGGCAATCTCACTGAAGTGGCTTAAAGCATACTTAATTTATCTAAAACGGATGTGCCATGTCTGCAGGTTTGTTGAGTATAGCTAACGTCACCGAATTTCTTCCTGTTTGATTTCGGGTATTCTCACAGTAACTTGTCTATCATATTCCTCTCCACATTTACAGTTATATCCTCTCACAGCGCTGGCGGGACCTTATACAGTGGATCACCAAAGGCACCGCTCCGGCGAACCGGTTTACCATCCATCTTACGATGTAAACGAACACGCATACGGGTTGACACCCCACACCCCTATTTCTGAAAGCGGGTGTGCTTCGCCTTCCGTCAGTTATAATACAATGACTTATTGGCAACCAGAACGACGAAAAATTGCGAAATTCACCGAATTGCCGCCCAAAAAGCAATCCGACAAAAGTGGCAATGAGATGTCTATGCTAGCGGTGCTTCCGGACGACAAAGTATCCAATAATGAATGCGCCCGAAACGCATCTTGTTACCTTCCTCCCACTCGAACAAACAAAAAGAGGCAACCTTCCTCCGAGTGGCCACCACCGCATCAAGGAAACAACGTTGTGGATTATATGCGTTTAATGGGACAAACCAGATCAACCCTCAAAGAAAACTCCATGAGTAAATTCCTTGCAAAATCTTCCCTCAACAGCCCTTCGAATTTGTATCAGAGTATCGAGTTCAGAGTGGCTCTGGATTCGGGTGTTCCAAGGAAATGTGACACCGGGGGCTCAGCCTTCACCCCACCAGAGTTGAGCCATGTACCCAAGTTGACGAAAAAGCAAATATATAACCGTACGGAATCCGAGATGGGCTCGAATTGTAAAAGAAGAGGAGCGGATCCGGAAATCAACTACAGCAGTCCAGTTAAGGGGCTACACCGAGCTAATTCTGATCGCACTGGTTATGTCCAAACAAGTTTTGTATAAATGCGTTAAAAATTTGCCCTAAATGTTACACTTTTCAGTCCATTCGAATACTTCTGTGCAAACCTCGTCCGCATAGGCTAGTGCAGTTCCGCTCTGTCACAAATACACATTGAATCAGCGGGTACGCTGCATGATTGTTTAGATTTTGCAACCTTGTCGGATTCCATAAACAATCGATCCAAATCTACTAAGTCAGCAAGAAAGAGAAACCTCCGCAGCCGCTTTATGTGATCACAAAACGCACCAACTGGTTTCTCAGCTCCTGACGGACTTTAGCATTGGTCAGCAGCTTGACATTTCTTATGAAATCAGCTTCCACAAATGCCTAGTTACTATATTAGCCACGTAAAGTGTATAGACTAAGAACAGTCCCTAAATGGCACATCCAGTTATCATTTAAATCCTGCAACCAAATAAAACTGCTCAGAGGAACAACAGCCACTCGAGATTTGGTTTCTGCGTACATGTAAACAAGTGCGTGCGGACAATACATATGGTTGTATATATATATATATATATATATATAATATATAATTTTAATGTGGATAAAATTCATTCCATTTGATTTGCTTTGTTCTGCGTGCTTGATAATCTTCTTCCACCTCGCACAGGTCGCTCATGCAAATTGTGGTAAACTTGCGTAATTTTATCGCGCGGTATTTTTAAATAACTTTCGGACATTTTATACTTATCGCGTATTCAACTTTAACCAATTCCTTCCATATGCTCATTTAGCAAGTATTTATGTCGTCATATTGTAGCGAAAAACGACACGACAGGGGGGTAGACGTTTATTGCACACCGAAAATGGGCACATGAGGGTCTCGCGCGCGCCATCGAATATCGACTAGATTTCCGTCCCACAACGCAACACAGGTACGGATGTTAGAGACGAGCCAGTCCTTTCGCCTCGGGAGCTCTGACTTGGAAGATCCGCCTTCCTGTTTTCGCCTCGATCCTCACTTCTCTGTACCCGATTTGGATCGGTCAGGAGTCGTTCGAGAGCTCTCGACTTGCTTGTTCTGGGCTGTGTCAATCGGCTCGGCGTCGGTCCTGTGGGCTGCGCTAGCGGCGTATATGTCTGATTTATTGCGCTGCCCACATATTCCCGCTCCGTAGTTCCGGGCCCAGGCTCGTCGCTAGCCGCCCTTCTCGATCCGCTCTCAGCTAGCTCCGAAGAGCTCCCCGAGGCATTCTTGGAAGCGGCCCCTCTACAATTTGCGTTTACTGTATTCGATATCGGCATTTCGGATGATTGGCTGTTGTGTGACATCCCAGGTGTGGCTGCGCTTGATGTGCATTTTGACAACGTGCCTCCCTGTCTATTACCCACTACCTCATCCATCTGACTCCAGGAAACAGTTGGTCGTTGCTGGAGGGGACGGGGTGCACGGTATTTCTGGCAGTGATAGGATCAAAGAGTGGTTCCATGCACTCAGTGTGGAACGGACTACGGTCCAGCCACCGTCTTGTGTGCGCTTGATTTCCCAAATACAGAGTGCTTGTGTTTGCCTGTGAAGGAGTGTGGGCCGGCTCCGTTGATGAAACGTGGCTCCCATCCACATGCCTCCCGGTCTTATTCCTTCGGGTTGACACTGGATATGAGGTGTGTGGATGGAGCTGTGGGTGATGCAGCGCAAGCCACCCATGGTCCCTCTGTAGACGCAGGTGTCCTGTGGCTGGCCACCGTGAGAGGCGAATCCGAAACCGGATGCCGCCAACCATATATATATATATATATATATATATATATATATATATATATATATATATATATATATATATATATATATATATATCCTTTGCCTTGTGGGTCAGGCTATTGGGCCAAAGGCTCTTGGTGGAGTCAGTCAAGCAAAGCTCCAATTCACCCACTCTCTTTTGGGTCAGGTTATTTAGAGTAAGGCTCCAAATGGAGACTGGCAAGCCAACTTCCGAAGCACAACCGCCACCTCGTGTGCGATTTCCCCTCAATGCGATCGTATGCATGCGCGCAAAGCACTCAGAATCGGGTGCTGGAACGTGCGCACATTATTGTCCCGGAACTCAAGTGAGCGCTCCGAGCGACGCACTGCACTAGTCGCGATGGAACTGGCGCGCTACCACGTCGATATTGCAGCGCTTAGGTAGTCTCGGCTCGCTGAGTAAGGTAAGTTGTATGAAGCAGTTGCTGGCTACACCTGCCACTGGGTGAGCAACGCCAACTCGGCACTACGTGAACATGGGGTAGGATTTGCAATATCTGATCGCCTCCATGGCCAGCTGGTGGATGAACCAACGGGCATCAGCGCGCGACTGATGACTGTTCGCCTACGACTCGGAAGAGGTAAGTTTGCCACTTTTATAAGCATGTACGGCCCGACCATGTGTTTTCCCGATGACACGCGTGATTAATCCTACACTCAGCTATCCTCCGTGATACGGTCTGTGCCGAGGAGCAACCCACTATTCCTATTCGCCAATTTCAACGCGCGCGTTGGGCATGATGCATCAGTGTGGACAGATGTCATCGGTCCGCATGGCAGTGGTTCAGCAAATGCGAACGGCAACAGGCTGCTCTCACTGTGTGCCACTCACGGCCTGACGATCACGAACACTCGGTTTGCACTGAGTGCGAGTGATATAGCAACTTGGACGGGCCCACAGAGTGGTCACGCTCACTTGCTCGTCTATGCCATCGTACGTCTGCGTGAAATGCGCGAATTGCGCATGACACGTGTACTGCGTGGAGCTGAGTGTGGCACTGATCACATATTGCTGCGGACCAACCTTTACATATATTTTCGTAAATCTATGTTTTATACTTCCGCCGTGAATCGGCGTAAACTAAACATGCATTCACTGGGTACTGTGGCGAAACGTACTGAGCTGGAGAAGGCGATGGCTGCACGCCTGTGTGTTGATGTGGACTGCATAGCCACAGTGGGTAACCTGTGACGCCACATTCGCGACCAGGTGACAGCTGCTGCTGAGGAGACAATCTGGAACGCAAACTGTAATGGGCTAGATTAGTTTGATCTGAACGATGCGACAATTGGCGAGTAGTTGTTAGAAAAGATTTTAGCATTTGATGCACATGTCGCAGACCCCAGTGACTTGGGGAAAACGATTCAATCTCGCAAACTTCGACGGTGACTGACCCGGGAGCTCCGCCGCATTAAAAATGCATGGTGGACGGAGAAGGCGATGCAAATGGTATGCTACGCCGAACGCCGCCAACACAAGGAAATCTTTGACTCCTTGAAAGAGGTGTTTGTGCTGAGTTTGCCTTCGCTGGGGACGCTAATCGATGGCAGTTCAGACGCTACCTGCACACAGACTGCAGACATAATGCAGATCTGGCGGAAACACTTTACCTGTCACTTGAACAACTATTCAGAGATCGACTGGCCAACATTGAACCGCTTGAAGCAGCACGATTTGAAGGCGAGTCTGGCGGACACGCCGACACTGGATGAGACGCAGCGAGCACAAGCTCAGCTGCGAAACGGCAAGTGTTCCGTTGCTGACGGCATCCTGCCTGACACATTAAAACTCGGAGGAACCGCGTTGGTGACTGCGCTGTACCACTTGGTTTGAGGAGGAGATGCCTCCTAAGCTGAAGGATACCCTTGTGTTACCACTGTACAAGGGTAAAGGGAGCAAGCAATGTTGCACACATTATCGCGGCAGCAACTTAAGGAGTTATGTGGGCAAGGCGTTTGCCCGACTCATGCTCAGTCGCCTCCTCCGTCAAGTTGTGGAACCGAACGTGGCGGAAGAGCAGCGTGGATTCCGTTCGGGTCGCAGCACTGTAGATATGGTTTTGGCGGCTCGTCAATTGCAGGAGAAGTTTAGAGCACGACACCAAACGTTGTACTTGCTGCTTGTTGATTTCATCAAAGTATTTGATCCCGTGAACCGCGAGGCATTGTGGCTAGTGTTAGGTAAGTTTGGTTGCCCGCGTAGGTTTGTAAGTTTAATTGAATGTCTGCACAGTGGTATGCGAGCGAGGGTGCAGCTGAGTGGAGAGACCTCGGATGAATTTGCAGTTGTCTCTGGTGTGAAGCAAGGCTGTGTCTTAGCTCCTGCCCTGTTTAATATATATCTTCATGCAATTATGTTTTGTGTTTTTGATGCCGCTTGTGTTTACGGTGTTCGTGTGGAGCACCGTATTGATGGTGGTTTGCTGAACATCCGTCATTTCGCTACAAGAATCCTAGTCTGTGAGACAACTACCTGTATGTTACTGTTTGCTGACGACTGTGCATTGTTTTCACACAGCGCGGATGAGTTGCCGCAAATGACTAGTGCTCTGGCTTCGACAGCGGCCAAATTCGGGCTTACCATCAACACAAGCAAAACTGTCTGTCTCTTTCAGCCTTCACCGGAGTTGCAATCTACAAGGTTTCCGCGAAGCAGCATTGATGCTGAAGTACAGGCAACCTCCTCCCGCTTCTGCTACCTTGGGAGTGTGAAATCGACAGATCAACAGCTACACAGTGAGCTCTGTATCCGCGTGTCGAAGGCAGCAGCGGCATTCGGGAAGCTAGAGTACAGAGTGTGGAACAACCATCAGCTTACCATTGGTACGTAGCTGATGGGGTACAAATCCATGGTGCTGTCCGTTCTTCTATACGGCAGCGAAACGCGGACGATGTACCGGCGAAGTGTGCCATATCTCGGGCGGTTCCATCAGCAGTGTTTGTGACGGATTTTGCGCATCGGTTGGGGCGATAGAGTTACTGAAGTGTTGCGACAGTGAGATGCATGCAGTAGAATGCATACTTTTGCTGAGACACCTGAGATGGCGTATGGCTTCGACGAGGATACCGAAGCAGCTATTATATTATCAGCTGCGTGTTCGGAAGCCGCATTTGGGGAAACCGAAGCTTCGTTATCAGGACATGATAAAGGTGATCCTACCACGTTCTAATCTTGATTGCAGGTCATGGGAATCGAAGGTGGTTGATCGGCGTGCATTGCGCGATCTGATCACGAAGGCAGTTGCCGAGGTGCAA